ATTCATCAACGAAAGTGGGACACGAAGACGGGGGACGATAACATATGCCCAAGATCAACTTCTTAAAACGTACGCAAAGCTCAAACCAGAGTAGTTTCAGGTTACTTGGGGAATTAATGGGCAACGCAACAAAATTATCTGCAACAGCTATCAAAACACCACCGCCACATCTGTGCCCTCTGTCGAAGCAGAGTACCTTGAACTTCTTTTTGCAATCAAAGAATTCCATACTCGTTACCTTAGAAAAAGCCATGTTTCAGTCAACAAAACAACATCAGCACCACAGGAATCGATTATAGAGTCAAGTTCATCGTGCTTTGGTAATAAACTTCTAATATTTATAAAAAGAAAAGAGACAGAATTTGTGGTAGTAGGCGCTGAACCACTGCCCCTCGCGCAACCCTACAGCGCAGGGTGCGGTAGAACAGTGACATCACGGGTTAACTGCTGACTCTGGACCAGCGGACGAGCAGAGCGATCAGTATGCTGAGTACGTGACAAGTCAGAGATACTAAACAAACGCATGAACAAACGCATGTTGTAAAGCAACCATCCAACAATGCTGTTCGCACGCCCACTGGAAGGCGCGGGCCGTTGGCATCCGTTTATATCCAGAGGAAATGGTGATGTCGTAGGCGATGAGCTGAACTTGTGCAATGGAGCCATGGTCCAGGAGGGTTGCCAAGGCAAGTCATGTCCAGCGTAGTCTTCATGGCGGTGGCCGCAATCAGTAGGTGCGCACGAAGCGATAATGGCTGGAACGTTTGATGCAGCGCAAACTTGAAGCCATCCCGCTATCTGCATGAACAAACGCATGTTGTAAAGCAACCGTCCAACGATGCTGTTCGCACGCCCACTCTGATGAATGTGCTCACCGGGTTGGAGGCAAACATAGAACACTTCCAGAGGTCTTGAACGCAAAGCTGGTCTGACAACAAACAGGGGATACCACCCTTTCCAAACTGTAGGACCTCTGAGATACTCTGTAAATGAGTCGTGGCTGCTCGCAGCTAAGCTTGAATTACTTTCGCTTTCTTCATCCGTATGGTACCCTCATTGGTTGGGACCAGGGCCACAGGAACTGCGGAGATACCGTTACGCAAGAACAGGTCCACAGGGACCTCCTGCGGTGAAAGAGAAGCGTACCAGAGGAAAGCCTTTGGTCCATGTGAGGAAAACGGCATGCATGCCTGAACGTAGAAGCGCAAAAAGCACTCACTGATAAACAATAGAGCTATAAAAACACTATGCAAGAACAAAGTTTGGCTGCAAACACATAAACTTTGGCCACAACCCCCAAAACGAGAACGGCTTTCGCGAACCTCCTTATCTTCTAGCAGCTCTGACCCAGCACGCGCACTGCGCCGCATTGTACTATTCAGTTATCAGGCCTTGCGGTTGCTACCTCTGCAAGACATGTCTCGCTTAATGAAGGGACGAGTTCTTGCACAGTTTCTTTTTTTAGAATTTTGACAGTGTCACTCCCAACATGCACGCGGTATCAGTAACTTTGTTTCAGCACTACTGTAGCTGTACCTTCTATTGCCTTGCAACAATCTTCACATTCACAGCAATCTATACTCAATGAGAAAAGGAAGTGCTGCAAAATATGCACTACTACAGGCTTATTTGTTACCTAGTTATATGTGATACTCTATGCGAAGTTTGACACGTAGAGTGAAGTACAGTATGAGCACTGCATCACATGCACTGTCCAAGAAATTTGAAGCTTGCACATTTTCTGCAAACTGAGTAATTCATAAGGCAAGAAAGAACAATCTGTGCATCCAGTTTGGTACAGCTTGAACATACCGTACACTATCACTGCTTTCCAGTATAAGGTTTCCATTTGTCCGCCTGGTATATTGATGGAGCATGGGGATGTCGCTATCGCAACTGTTGAGCTTCTTACATCTTCATGTGGGTAGCAATTGGAAATCAATGGTCTCTCTTTTGTCCAGTTTTCTGATAATAATAAAAAAAACAGAATCATGAGAAGGGTAAGACAGAAATGGTGTAGCAAAAATAGCTTCAATAAATAAAGTGTCTTAAACCATACCTTGCGAGGATTTTGGCCCATGAGCATGCTTTCAGTGACGACACATTCTCCGCTGGCTTGAGCTAGGTTCAGTGATGAAGCATCCGAGCGTACAATGATATGAGGAATTGCTTGGAGGCTGCGGTTGGGTTGCAAGAGAAAAAACAATCCTGGTTACTCTGGTAGAAGGGTGAACCGATCTGGGATGCATGGCTCAACAGAATGTATATGTTAACACTGCATATAATAAAGATAGCGTTGACATAACGCTGCTATTTTTGCGAATTTATCTTATGGATGTCAGTTTAATGAAGTTGTTTAGGGACATTCTTCAGAAGACAAAGCTAGGTAATTGCCCAACTGGATAGACTATATGGTCATGCAAATGTAATATACTTGATCGTAAACTTGCGAAAAATATACAAATGCATATGTGTACTAAAGGTTCACTTGGCTCTACCATGTGTTTAATTTATGAGCATGTGTTGCAACAGGCCCATTTTGAGCAGAAACAGGCAAAACTTTTGCTGTGATGATGTGGTCTGTGTTACAAAGTTTAGCAGTAAAGATACTTTCAGCGAATGTGACAACGAAGTAAACAATCTCAAACATTCACAAGGTGTGCTTGTGCACAAGGTGTGCACAAGCTGTACAAGTCGAAAAGCCTTGTGGAATGACAAAAACTTTTAGCACAGGCAAAAGAAAGGGGCTATGTTCAGATGCAAAGTAGCGCATTCTCACTCACCAGCGAGAACACGCCCATTGTACATGATTAATCCGTTTTTGTAGGCAGTCTCCGAGCGATTTGCCGGCGTTGAATTTTCATGCTGGAGGCTGCTGTCTTTGCAGCCTTGGCAGTGACGCAAAGGGAAATATGTTGTTAAAGTGTAGCAAAATCTGGTGGTTTCTGGAACTTTTTGTTCTTTCCCAGCATGCTGTTTCTGCCATTGTACTAAGTCATTTTGTTGAGCCACTGCTTACACTCACCTGATTATCACACGTATGTTGTCTCTGCAGTACACCCCATCTTCCCAATTTTTCTCGTTTTCTCCATATGCATGCTTCTCTAAATAGTTGTAATATGGAACAATACAATACCAGTGGATTTGTTTATTTTGTGTCTCAATTGTGTTGCATACGTGATCCTACAGTGCTCTTCATTGTGTCGCTCAGGTAGCTGCCCAGAATTGTAATCATGTATGGACGTGCTATTTCTGCATTCGAGTTTTTGTGTCCTTTTGCGTCTCGCCGATTAAGAGCACTAATCGCAAAACACTTTATCATAATAAATATAGTCAATATTGCAAGAGTAATCGAAGATCCAATATTAAAGGGCCTGCGGACGGGACCACCACCAGCAGCAAGTCAGGCTGATGAGGAGGCGCAAATGCTAAAACAATACATGCGTGAACAAACAAAAAAACAGAAGTATCGATAACTGCAATGGGACTTGAACCACCGACCTCACCAATTGATGTGTTGCTTTAACCAACTACGCCACAGCTGCCGATCAGTTTGAGATGGCAAACAAGTCAGTTTTGTATTGTTGTCACGCTAAACCTAATTTCGTTTGGACGTAATTTTAACTGCTTTTATCGTTATGTCTAGACGTACCGCTAGACACTCCCAACTATTCAAACAAAACGCCTAACCGGAAAATGCATGACGTCTCTTCCGTGCGAAGTAGCAGCCGCTTCTGTGTGGGGGTGGCTCGTGCGCCGCAGCAGTCACTGCCTTTCTTTGGAGTGGGGGGGGGGGGGCTGGGCTGGAGCATGAAATGGGCGCTGCCATGATTCTATTACCTTTGGACATTATTAAATAAGTCTGATCGACAACTATTCTATAGGTGGTTTCAAGGGCTCCGGAAGTCTATGTTAAGTGTGGGGGCAGGAATATATGCATATATAAAACTTGAAGGGGCATTAATACATATCTCGGTTTTTGCTAAGGTGTGAAAATGAAAGAAGGGGGTCATAGCAGCTGTTAGTGGGGTGGGGGGGGCATTCCCCCCCTTCCCTGGGGGGATGTGATACTTAGAGCTAAATCAGCCCCCAATAGCACATTGCCCCTGCTATAGATAAGCCATCAGACAGGGCATTTGGCAAGTTCTGGGGAATGGTGGCTGGATAAGATTTAGTGAACCCTTGCAAGAAAAATACATCAGCCAGCCAGCTTGGCCACTGTCTGAAACTTTATTTCTTCAGAGGGCACATGTTCTGCTGTTTCAGCATACATGAGCCTCGATTTTGATGGTATCTCAAAGATGTAGGAGTTTGGAAACCTCTCAGTCAGCAGTGCTTTTTAGGTCATACTTGCTAAGTATTATCAATAGGACTAAAGATTGCCCAATAAAAAGTGCCTGGCTACAGTAGAGCTTTGTGTTTACAGTAATACTCCCTCCTATTGTTCTACAAAAGGGGTGCTAAAAAAAAAAAAGTGTTCAGTGGATGGAAACTGGTACGCACACTGTCTATCCTCCCAAGTAGGCAAGTGTGTGGTGGTTTCAAAGCATTTTTTTTTAAACAAGGAAACATCACCTCTTGCTGATGTCTTTTACCTTTGCTCGCTGTAATGCGCAATTGTTTGGCAAGCCATAGGTGTAATGCAAGGGAAAGTTTGCTTGGGCATGAGAAGGTCTTGGGAGATGGAAGCCAGATAAGAAAATAGTTTCATCCCAGAACCCCCTCCTCAATGGTGTGCAGTAATCACACTACACAGATAGCCTTGTACTGAAGCTGAACTTTGTGCGTGCGTGCGCACACACACACAATGGTGCAATATTCAGTGTGTGTGTGCCAGAAAGCTACATTTTTGTATTTATCGAAAAGAGATGCAATTCATTTAAATTTTGAGTGAAAAACTATTCCCTTCTCCCTCCATCCTTCTCTTATGAAGATAGTTTAGTCACTCCAGGCCATTCCCTCTTTTTGCGAGTGGCAAGAGAATAAACTGAAGGCATGCAGAATGTTGCAAATACCACAAGGGGTCTCTTTATTCACATCGGATTGCAAAGCATACATATATATATAAAACCTTCAAAATGACTCCAGGGAAGTCTATGTAAATGAGAGAGTAAAAACTGCAGTGCAACTGCCAGTGACTAGGAAGACGAGCTGCCACATGCACCGCTGTCGGATGCATCAGAACTAGACGCCGCTTCGGATGGCTGAGGCTTATGTTCGTCTTCGGGTGGCCTTGCCGTTACGAGGAACCCGGAAATTTCTTTCTGCCAGGGTGGGGTTGGCTGGGGGCAGTAGGAGTTTCGACCTGCATACTTGCCTGAAATTCAACAAAATGGAAATTATAGCATTCCAAGCCAAAGCATCTACTTTCATAAGTGAAACATGGGTGGAGTCCCTGCATTTTTTGGTCGAAGCATAAAGTACTTGCAAACACCAGCAGCATTGGTGAAATTGAAGGTTTTTAACAGCCACTCTGCGAGCAAATTGAGTGCACGCAAACCCGATTTTAACAAAGTTGCATCCTACACAAAAATAAGTGCGTTATAACCAAAAATTCATTGTAAAGGTGTATCACTAGCACATCGCAAGACTTATTAGTTCGTCATATCAAAGCTGAAGGAATTGCCTCATGCAGGTGCTACTAACCTAAGAGGAAAAAAAAAAAAAAAAAAACTACAATGAAGAAGCGTAATGTAACCAGCTATTCGGAAGCAGCATCATAGATCTCAAACGTTGGAGTACATTAAGCAGAGAAAACGTGGCCGCCATGAACCAGTTCAAAACACTGCAGTCAAATTAAATGTACTGAAAGACAGGTGTGTTTGCATCGAGAAGCGATAGCTACATATGTAACCAGTTTGAACTAGAATTAGGTTCTTTTAACTGCTAAAGATTTCTTGCCAATGAGTTGTAAATCCACACTGTTGCAACCCTACAGAAAAGCGCCGCATTCCAGCATTCTTCATAGCCCTGACATGGCCTGGATCGTGGATGTTGCACAACCTTTGCAGAATGGGCTTGTTACGGAACAAGATTTCTTCTTGAGCAAATGCTGGCAGTTAAGTTTACTGGTGCAACTTCCAATAGTATATTTTCTATGTCTGTGGACTTTCTTATGGCAAATGCAGTGCATGAATGCCAGACTGAATGAAGGTTGCGGTCAATCCTACACTTGTGCCGCCCATACAGGACAAATGCGACCAAGCCAGGTACCTTTCATAGCAGATACCGCTAGTTAATGCACACACAGTCACTTGGTAAGAGAAGTAGATGTACAACTACTTACACAAGAAAAGTAAATCTACATGATAGAGCTATGCTATGACACCATCCTATAATGAAGCACAGAAAGCTCTCACCTCTGCAGCCTACGTAAAGATGTACTGGAGGGATTACGATTGAAGTGAACGTGTAATGAACGGATATGAAGAGAACACTTTCCCATCCAAACCCACTGCCCGCCTACTTTCTTGCTGTACCCTTCTTTGAACAAAGATCGCATTGTCAGCAAATCTTTGAGGTTTAGATTGGTTGTAGTGAAAATTTCACCATGGGGTAGCAGTTGAGATTTGCTATTTGTATTGAAGGTTGTCATGGTCATGCTTGCTTAAGAAATACCAATACTGGGTGACTGAGAAGGGTGCAAGCCAACCCTGTTTTTATAGAAATAAAAACAAAGACATGCACCTGCATAGCCCTCCCTAGCTTGGATCAGATTAGTGCATGTCAAGAGCGGGGAAACTTGAGCGCGAGGTTTTTCTACATCTTTTGACGTATGGGCACAGTTTCAGGTTTCGGTGAAATCGCCGGGAAAGGCGATATCCTCCAGTCATGTTCAGGAAGTGCTTTTTTAAACAGCGACCCTCTCCGTTTTTTCACATTGAAAAGTTCATCCCGATCGTCTACAGTCCCCGTACATCTACTTTTACAGGGTAAAACGGAGGCAGATTTTATTCGTAAGAGTTGCAGATAGTGAACTTGAGTATTGGTAACTGCCTTTTTTTTTTTTGCGTTATACCTTGGCTTGCCATGCGGCATATAAAACTCTGGCTGATCGTATGAAACAATCTGGTGGTAGCTCACGGAAATTACCGTCTACCTTGACCTGCAGTCCGAAACTGAAGTTGCAGTATGTTATGTAATAATTACTTTACATTTTATGGCAACTTTAGAGAAAATTGAACGGAAAGCATCTCTTCATAGCAAGTCACCCTATCTGTGATGTATCCTTTGGTGGACCACTGAGTAAGTAGGCACAGATAGACAGCGACTATGGAGACGGGGCCCGTCAACGCAGTACTATCATTAGAGTGAGGGGACCCGTCGCCACAGTGCAATGGTAAAAACGAGTTTGGGTCCATTGCCGTAAGTTTGTAGCCGTTTTAGATGCCACTGCCTAGCTGCTCTGGTGGTGCAGCTGTGGATGTGGTCGTGCTGCAGGTCATCACTATTCCCGTTTGGCCAATATTGTTTTTATAACGATGCATCAATATTGGTTGATATGTGGGGCTTAACATCCCAAGTGATTAGAGAAGGTTTCAGTTGTATTTATTTCTGTACTGCTGCGCGAGGTACCTATGTGCAAGCTCCCTACCTACCCTCATTGTAGGATACATCGACGCTGCCAGATGTACGTTCATTCTTGCGTATTCGTTCCATTTACTCGGTCACACCTTGTGGTTTACTCAAGCCCGTAGCCGCACCAGCCATCACTTGCAAATCAAAGCATCCACGACCGGTTACGCCCACGACTTCAGCGTGCTTGCATTTGAGTCATGAGAACGATATGGAACACAGTTCGCTCCCCAGGACAAGCGTCATCTCAGAATGGGAAGACTGGTACAGAGAGTACACCAACATGCGAGTATCTACAGCACTGCAGAGAGCTCGGATGTTGATCTACGTGTGCATAGCAACAGCACATATTCATGGGACGGAAGCGACGTGCATATCCCCTTGTTTAGAGGAGCCGACTCGATCACGGGAAGGAGCGAGATTTCGGGCGAAGTAGGCCCGAAGTCCGAGCTACATGTATTGTTATATGTACTGTGGTTTTGGGACTTCCTGAAACATACTGTCAAACTACATATATCCCTCAGGGTTGGAACAGATTCTATGTTGACCTGCACGTTTGGCATCAGCCCATTTGTCGCCTTTATACAACGACAGGAAAAAAAAAAAAAACACTAGAAACAGATTATGTGGGAATATCACATTATGTGTAATGAATTAGTAGTTGGAGCTACGATAGCGATGCAAAGGAACAGAAACCCGGCCGACGGTGGTTGTTCAATGCGATAATAAAGGTAATTTGCACGCATACAACAGAATCTGCTCATGCAGCGCAGTATCAATCTTAAATCACTAATAAAGGTTTTCATTTCATGTTGGACGTGAAAGAAAGCCGATAGTTGAAACCCAGATGAATGAACACAATTATTACAAAAAATAAGGAACAGTACGTGACACAATGTTGCTAGGAGAAAATGCTAGAGAAATGTTGCTAGGAGACCGAAGTCGGGCACCAACTACACTGCGCCACGAAATCCACATGGTAGGTCTGTTTAACAACCGCCACCGCCAGCAGCGTAATGTTCTTGAATTACCTCGAAAAAAAAAAAGGGGGGGGGGTGAAACATTCAAAACCGGACCTCGAACTGACGACCTGCGTCACGTTTGCTTCTCCAACCGCGCGTCAAGCCACTACGCTTACCAGAACAGCTAGACGGTGGCGTCGAAAACTGCGTATTAACGGCAACGGCCCCCCTTCATTTATACAATACCATAGTCTGCAGCACCCCCCCCCCCCCCCCCACTAACTATAGCACTGCGTTAACGGGCCTCGTCACCATAGTTACTGCCGCGCTGATTTGCGACAGCGCTCGTGTGACAACTACCGACTCAATACGAGCAGAAAACGTCATTGCGCTTAAAGAGCAGAAGATTTCGCTCGTTGCCATAGGATAATACGTTATCACTGTTTTGCAAAAAAGCGCACAATGCCGCGGAATTTCTGGTCACATACCTCCTTTCGTCTTGCGAGACCTGGACGAGCTCGAACTGGAGGCACCTCCGGGATTGCTCATGCTTTTCCTGAAGGCCTTCGCACCAACGGCTACAGAGGATATTTATATAATACACAGTCAGTTGAAAGAAGGGCGCCCCATTTTCTGAACTTAGCAAAGCGCGCCCAACTTGAAGCAACTTACCTCGGCTGGCACCATCTGCCTTCGTTCGCACCATGTTGCGTTGATTTCTTAAAATAATAGAAAAAACTCTCGGTAATGCTTGCGAGTGACAAAACCCTTTCTCTAAAAACGCCGAACTCTATCCTAACCGCAATCGCTCGTACACTACGGCCGCGCAGCACATCAGGGACGAGTGTGGCGCGCAAATTTGCGTGCGTATTTATGCGGTAATATACATTCGCTGCGGTACAGTTTTTTGAACGCTTATTTACTTTTATAAAACGAAAATTACAAAATATCACTGCTAAATAAATATGTAGAGTTGTTTTAGTTATGCACAAAATTAATTAGTAAGTAAAAGTATAATTTAATTTGCCGCGGGCCTAAGCAAGTTGTTTGGTGCCCATAGAGTTAATCTCCGTTCGATTCACCTGCACCAGTCGGAACCGGTTCACGGCTGTGCACGCGAAGTTCAGAAATTGTGCAGCGCGAGTTCAGTGGTGCAGGCACAGCGCGACCCCCGAAACGAATGACGATGTGCCAACAAGGTGCAGGCCTTATTTCTGTTCGCTTAATTTACACTGTTCAGTGAACACTGAACGATGGCGAACCGCACATGTGGACAGTTCATGAGGCGCAAACATCTTGGCAAAACACACCGCGTTAGTAGAGGCGGGTACGGCGCCTACGCCACCTACGTCTAAGTGCTGCGTCGTCTGCTCAGCTGTACGCGCGCCTGCACCAAGCCGGCACCGTCAGCGAAGGAGGTGCAGGAAAATTGTGAACCGGTGCTGCACCTTTTCTGCACCTTTCGAAACGAATGGCAGGGTTCAGCGGTCGTCATTGCTGCACCACTGAAACGAATGGTAAGGTGCAGCACATCGTGAACTGGTTCACGTGGTGCAAGCGAATCGAACGGACCTAATATACAGACTGCTGCAGTTTGTATATTAACCCATGTATATCATCGTTTCTAGTTCTAAAAACGTTGATGCATATTAACTCTATGCTGTTACCCATAGAGTCGTAGAGTAATCACTTATTATAATGCATAGAGTTTGCAGCTGCGCCATGGTGCACCGCTTCATTCTCTCTTGGCTGCGCCGTGCTCCCTACCGGGCTGTAGAAAGTCAGGCCTTCTTCTTCTTCTAACCACCACCATTCTATCTTTCACGCGCATTAAGGAAACATCTCTAGATATTCGGTAATCTTTCTGTTAAACCTCCATCATTCCAAATCTGAACAGTAAATTTCGAAACCACTCGATCAACAACAACAACAATATTCGCGTACGCTGCAAGCTGTGGTGCTGGTTCTCATTGCATTAGTGGCGGTGAAGCGAGATCTACAGGCGTGTGAACATCGAAGGCGACACACCATGAGTAGCGCTAGTCAAGGTAAGCATCGTGTTATTAACCACCGCCACTTATGTAATATCGGCGACGTTAAACGTGCTCTTGATGACATTGTCGTGGCGCAGAGTAGTCCACACACGCATTCATTTGTTCTGCAGATGGTGACGCTCCCATGACAGTGTACAAGAAAGCAGAACTTCAGGATTATGTCGAGCCACAAAAAACAAAGTCTTCGAAAAAGAAACGTTCTGGTTCTAAGCACGAGGCAAGCACGTTGTTTTAAAAACTTACGCGTTCATCAGACGTGTGCCTAGGTATATAATACTTGATTTATCGGTGTTTGTCCGCATTGCAGCCAGCACAAGAAAGTTCGGAGGAGTTGGAGTCGAGCCTGTGTGGTGACGAGGAAATGAAAAAACAGGCTGTTTCCGAAGAAGAGCGTTCGAACATCGCCATGACGCAAAACGCAACGCGACGCAAGCAGCGTTATGTCAACTTGTACAGCCGGGAAGGCCGTGCGCGCGACGTCGTGTTGTTTCCTGGCCGCCATCCGTGCGAGTGTGAGGCCCGCCGGCACGCGCTCATTAACAACTGCCTTCGTTGCGGTCGCATAGTCTGCCGCCAGGAAGGGTCGGGACCGTGCTTCACCTGCGGCAATTTGGTGAGCCGCCCTCCCGTTACGCCATTGGCCGCTGTTTCACAGTAACGCCGTTACATGGGCTCCTGCACCCACGTGACAAACATACAAGCGAGAAACACACACACATATATATATATGCAACTAAGGACCTTAACAAACAGATAATGACGCCAAGAAAGGTACAGGGGATGTTAATTGTGCTGTTTAATCTGTATTGTAATTTCACATGCATATAACCACCCGATAAAGTGAAAGAGAGAATGACCGCTGCCATAGCTCGATTGGTAAAGCATAGTGTGCGTTATCCGAAGATTGTAAGTTCTAGCTCTACCGGCATAGACTTTTCTTTACGTCAACTTTACTTTCCTGACATTTATATCACAATTACTACAATACAATTGAACATTACCATGAATGTTTCTAGAGCTTCTTTGAATTCATTATGTGGTGGTTTTCGTTAAAGTTGTTCAACAAAAAAACTAGCCCTTAATATTCCCTCCTTTTGTTTACCAGTGACTCAATTCAAAGTTCCTCATCTTTAAAAAAGAAAGAGAAGCATTTTAATTTGGTAATTATCCACGCTGTGACTGTTGACATCTGGTTGGGCTAGTGTGACGTCCCTGCTGCCACATCAAAATGCCTCGTGATGTCAATCACAGCTGCCCACTTTGTTGTTGTGTCGGAAATATGCGCATTTTGTTTGCGCACGAGCTTGGCGACTCACTCACGAGCTTGCCAATGCATGAATAAACTTTATTTGAAGTCAGGCAGTTTATTCCGGCCGAGGTGGGGGAAGAGGGGATTAACCCCTGTCCCTTCCCACTCTCCGTCGATTATGATGGCAGTGCCTCAGGTGACTGCTCGAAGTCCTTGGACCCGGGCGGCATCTTCGGCTTGCCGCACGGCCCAAAGTTGGTCGGCCAGCTCGTCGCTGGTGAGTGCCGCCTCCCAGCGGCAGCGAAGCTGACGTAGGCGATCCGGAGCAAAAAAAAGATCAAGCATTGAGGGACTAAGGGGGCCACGGAGTGTGGGCGCACGTCGTACCGGCTCCGCAGTTTTTCTATGATTATCGGCACGATATCAAAGTTCCTAGCACCATTTTTCACACCAGTGGACGACGGAAGTTCTGAAGATCTTCTGGACACCACGTTTTGACAGGCGGGCTGCATTTTTTTTGGTGCAACAACCTTGTTTTCTGGGTCACCACGTCAACGTGACAGCTAAGCTCAGCGAACGCTAACTGGACGCTAGTGTCTCCACCGCCGTGGCGGTGTGGAGAGCTCGGCTGAACGCGCCGTCGGAGCTGTTCGGAGCCCCCCGTTCCTTTTCGAAGGCCCGATTTATGCCGAAATGGAGGTCGTAACTGTGGATGGAGAAGACTTATCACCAGAAGAGTTTGAAAAAGGGTCAGGCTGGTGCGAAGTGCAAAAAGGCGCCAAGACGCAGGTCGACCGGGAGCCAGGCTCAGCGGGAAATACGCAGCGAGAGACGCCCTTCGCAGAAAAGGCGCCAGGAAACAAATGGAAAAATGAGCGGAACGCTTGACAAATCATCAAGGCGAGTCGACTGCCTAATCTGCCGACGGAAGACTATAAGGTTATTGTGCGTCCGCGTGGTGGGCTTAACGTCTCAGAATACAGGATGGATAGCATATATTGCTGCCTGCGCAACGCTGCGGGTGTCGGCCGGGAGGCGGCTGTGGAAGACAGTATGTGCATCAACAACACGCAGAACATACTCGTCATCAGTACACCATCCGAGGATCGAGCCCGGCAGTATGGAGCCATTACCAAACTACGATTAGGTCAGTAGGAATTTGAGACCTGTGTGTACAGGGCAGCCCCGGAGAATACGTCAAAGGGACTTATATGAGGGGTGTCCAAGGAAGAGAGCCCAGAAGACATCCCTAGCACCTTCGTCACTCCACGTAACCCAGGAGTCCTTCATGCGAAAAGAATGGGCAACACGGACAATATTATTGTGCTGTTTGAGGGGTTTGGCATTCCGAGATATGTGAGGTAAGGAGCAATGCTCGTTAAGTGCATGCTCTACAGAAAACACTTCGATGTCTGCTACGGTTGTGGCAGACTTGGACATAGAGCAGATGTGTGTCCCTACCCCAACGACAAGGTGTGCAGGGAATCTGGAAGCGGTAATCCAGCGCAAGATCACCGTTGTGAAGTGGAATGCAAGTTATGTGGCAAAGATCACCCCACTGGAGACAACAGATGTAAGGCAAGATACAAGGTACCGTACCTGGTTAGGAGGCGTCGCTGCGAACGGACGAGGCGAGACGAGGAGGAAGCACGGGCAGCGTGCGCTGAAGCCTGCTATCAGTACAAGGAAGTCGGCGTATGCCATGATGAGGACCACAACACAACAACCAGCCAGCAGTCGGACAAGGACACTAACAGGCAAAACAGTGCGAACGGCCACGCACAAGACCACTCCGCATCATTCTCAAAGCTTACTGGGGGAAAGAGTCTAAGACAGTCCAGGTCTCGCTCCAAATCAAGATCAAGGCCAAGGTCCCACTCAAGAGCCACTCGAGGGAGCGGCAGCACGCAGGTGAGCTTTGCAAGTGTGGTCTCCGGCACTGCCTCTCCAAGTAATGTTATAGGGTCCGCCTTATAAAAGGAAAGGATGCAGATTAAAAAAATGTTAGAACAGTTCACTAGAGCGAACCTAACGCTTAAAGAAAAGATTAAGCAACTGAAAGAAGAAAATGCGAAGCTTCAGGAGGTGCGCAACGCGGGTGCGACGCCTAACACTCCCTCTGTTAGCAAAATACCAACGCTTAATCGAGCCCAAACATCTGTTCCTTCGCAAACGAGCGGGGAGTCACCGCCACTAAAAAGGAGGGTGAAGGAAGAGGCAGAAAAATCCGGTAATTTTTCGATTAGCGAGGTTAAGGGATTGTTCAAAGAAATGTTTGATGAAATACAAAACCAAGTTACTTGCATGTACGTCGAAATAAAGCGGAGATTTGATGGACTCGAGCACAGGGTATTAGCGATAGAGAGCACGCCGAAGGACATTAGGTCGTCTGGTGCGGGGCCAGTTAAGTTGAAACCGTATAGCAGAACACCCACAGTAGAAACCAGCAAGGTCACCGGGGAAGATCCCATAAATAAACATGGCGCCACGTAACCAGTACATTATTTGGCAGTGGAATTGCCGCGGATGCCGTAGGAAACCAGGGAAGCTGCAGCAATTCGTGATAAACAGGGAGGCGCCAGATGTCATCGCCCTGCAGGAGACCGGGGGGACGGCAACGTTATTGGGGTAGAAGTCATATAGTACTTCTGGTGAGAAGGCAACTGTGACAACTCTGGTGCATAGAAACCTCACGGCTGTAGAGCATGATACCGGAGTGCACAGCATAGACCACGTCCTTATAGAAATAATACCCTCCTGTAAGAAAGAGCGAAGCCTCTTCGTGCTTAACATTTGTAGCCCACCCCGACAGAAGCTCAAGTTTGGTCCACTTTTCCACAAAGCCTTGAGCATAGCGGAGAGACAGGCTCTCGTCATAGTCTGCGACTTTAACGCATCGCACGCTGTTTGGGGATACACTGTCGAAGATATAAAAGGACGCAACTTATGGGCAGACGCTCAAAACGAGGGCCTTACGCTGATAACGAATCCTGAGGAGCCCACAAGAATAGGCAACAGCGTTAGTAATGACACAACACCAGACCTAACTTTTACGAAGAACGTAGCAGACTCGCGATGGGTAAACACGTAGCAGAATTTTGGCAGCGATCATTATCTTGTAGTTACAACGGTGCATGCAGGCCCTCAAAAAAAGCAAGGCAGAAAGCTGGCACTTGTAGAATGGGACTATTTCCGCAAGATACGAGAGGAAGATTGGATGATGCCATAGTAGATATAGAAAAATGGGTAGAGAAGCTCTAACAGAGTGTCAAGAAAGCCACTAAAATTGTTCCCGAAGAAGAGGGAATGGCGGAGATGGACAGCAAACTGTTGCATCTCTGGGAGGAGAGGACTAGCATCCAAAAGCGCTGGAAAAGACAAAAATACAATCGTAATTTAAAAAAGAAAGTAGCTGCATTAGACAAGGAAATAGAGCTCCATGCGAATCGGCTGACCCAACAATAGTGGGAAGCCACGTGTAACTTGATGGATAGAGAAATGAAGATGTCAAAGACTTGGAACGTTCTCTGAAGTCTCCTAAACCTGCAAAGTACAAAGACTGCACAGAGGCATAAGCTGCAACACGTAATACATAACTATGCAGGAACAGAGGAGGAGCTCTTTCACGAGCTACGAAAAAAGTACTTCGCAGACGCAACAAAAGAACCACTTTCCAAGTTACAAGGGGCAGGACAACCTTATAATCGATGCTGATATTAACAGAGGCCGAGGTTAGATTCGGCTAAACCCGAGGTCTGCTCCGGGACCTGATAAAATAACTAATAAGACGTTCAGAAACTTGGACGACAAATCCATTAAGGCGCTCACTGAGTACATGAATAAGTGTTGGAAGAGTGGGACTATCCCACGTCAATGGAAGACTGCTCAGGTCATTATAATTCCGAAGCCGGGAAAGAAAGCCCAGTTGGATAACCTTAGACCAATTTCACTGACTTCATGTATCGGCAAACTCATGGAGCACGTCATCCTTACGCCTCTCACTACCCACATGGAGGAGAATGGACTCTTCCCACATACCATGATCGGTTTCAGACCTAAACTATCAATGCAGGACATAATGTTACAGATTAAGCATGAAATACTCGACGCGAGGACCAGATCTTTAGACTCTAATGCTATCCTCGGCCTTGATCTCACTAAGGCCTTCGATACCATCACACACAGAGCCATATTAGAGAATCTTCAGGGACTGGGGATAGGGCAGCGCACCTACGCATATGTGAGAGACTGGCTATCCGACTGCACTGCGAGAATTGGGGTCGGAGAGGCAAGGTCTGAAGAGATTGAATTGGGCAGTAGGGGGACACCACAGGGTTCGGTGCTGTCTCCCCTGTTATATAATGTGGCGATGATTGGCCTACCTGCAAAATTTGACCAGATTGAGGGCCTCAGACATAGCATATACGCAGAAGACATTACCCTCTGGGTGACGGGTGGCAGTGACGGCGACATTGAAAACATATTACAAAAAGCTGTTGACACTGTAGAGAGATGTAGAAGGTAAGGGGCTAAAATGTTCTCCCGAGAAGTCGGAATTGCTCATTTATAGGCCCACATGTAGGGGACGCAAAAGCATACAGGAAAGGCCAGACATCACGATTTTTGCAGGGGGAAGTAAAATACCCACGGTAGCGAACCTACGAGTTCTCGGCCTCCGCATATCTGAGAATGGCCACAATGGAGAAACTATTAGGCTATTAGAGAACAGCGTCCACCAAACAAGCAGGCTGATCAAACGAATAGCCAACAAAAACTATGGTATAAAGGAACACAACTTCGTTCGTTTAGTCCAGGCTCTTGTAGTCAGCCGCATCGTGTGCGTTGGCCCATATCTTAAACTACACGCAGCCGAACAGAGCAAAATAGATTGCATCATTAGAAAAGCGTATAAACAAGCAATAGGTTTACCGTTAAATACGTCGAATGACAAGTTCTTGGCTCTAGGGCTACATAACACGCTCGCAGAGCTAATAGAGGCCCACACGACAGCACAGTATGATCGGTTAACCAAGAGCCCTACGGGCAGGCATATTTTGGACACAATTGGCATCACGTACAATGTGCAACATGGGGTAAAAAAGGGCATTCCGTGGGAGGCAAGGGGGCTTATCGTGGTGCCTCTATTACATAGAAATATGCATCCTGAGCATCACCGCGCTAGAAGGATAGAAAGGGCGAAAAGCCTACATAAAAAGTTCGGCAACGCCCAGGACGTGGTCTATGTAGATGCAGCAGAATACGAGAATGGCCGAAGCATGGTAATCGTAGCTACAAATATTCAAAGGGATTCCAACGTCAGTGGCAGTGTACGTACAGATAGGGCAGAAGCGGCGGAGCAGCGGCTGTAGCACTAGCAATAGCCTCCACAAAAGCCGAAGTCGTGATCAGCGACTCCAAAACTGCTGTTAAAAATTATGCCAAGGGAAGGATCTCACCAGAAGCGCTAAGAATTCTGGCAAACTTTTGCGACGAGCGGGTAGTTCATATTGTATGGGCACCTGCTCACTCCTCTCTCCCCTGAAACGAAATCGCGCACGACCTGGCTCTAGAACTGGCCGGCCGAACAGGCGCAGCGCGAAGTCCGGGGGCGGAGAGGGACCGCATGATTAGTTATGAAGAGATCACAAAACATTACAGGCTAGGAAGGGTCAGATTCCCCTCGGCACATATCTCGCTCAACAAGCAGCAGGCGACGGCATGGTGCCTCTTACAAACCAACACGTTTCCGAACCTGGTAAGTTTTCACTACATCTACCCAGAGATATTCTTAGGTTTGTGTAAGTTCAGTTCAGTTCAGTTTATTACCTTAAAGGCCCCCCTTTCTAGGAGGGGCATTACATAAGGGGTGGGGTTTTATTTAGGTTAACAATAAGCAGTAAAAGTTGTTTTAGCATTGAAGATGATCAATAATACGGTCTTGAAAGGCAGATGATGAGGCGATGTTGGCGATGTCCCGGGGGAGGCCGTTCCAGTCCGTGGCTGCTCGAAAAAAGAACGAGGCAGAAAAAGCAGTGGTGCGCGAAGATGGGCGGGAAACCTGAAATGGATGACTGGTTCGATGAGATATGCGTGCTGCGACTACTATATAAGGTGGCTGATCAGTTCTGCAATCAAAGGGCGGATCTCAATCATATAGTGTGGGCTTGCTCCTAGTGACAGGGAAATATAAAAAATACAGCAATGGAGAGCAGTGGGAGACCGCACTGCTAAGCGCAGACCCAGAAGTGCAACTCGACGTCCTTTGGCAAGCCGAGGATGCCGCCAGAGCTCAAGGACTCATGGCTGCCACCTAGGGGAAGGAGATGATTCTTCCACATCTTGCCGCTTTTTTTTATTTAATAAAGTTATTTCCTCCTCCTCGAGGGACTAATTTAAAATTGTCGCTTCTAAACCTAAGCAACTTAACGGCTGCGAGTCACCGTGGTATGAGTGAGCCTTGAAGGGGCACGAAAGAGAAAAGCAGTTTTTCTCTTACTAATGAACTACGGCTTCACAGTTGCTGAAAGCATCACTCGTACTGCGAGAAGACTCTTGGTAAGCGAGAAAACTTAAAAAAAAACAAAAAAAAAACGGTGGCACCACAGCTTTAAAGTTCTCGTTCCAGCTTGCCATGGCATCATAAGTTCTGATGGTCTTGTCTAGAGCCCACATAGTTGATTGTCACTAAAAATGTTTCCAATTGTGTTCCGACGAAACAAATGTCTTACCTAAGCAAGTATCGAAAAATGGTGAAGCCAATATACCTAAAATGTGCAAGAAGACTTACAATTTCATGACATCACACCAGCATTCCTGTACTTAAATTCGAGCCCGAACTTCAGGCATATAACTTGGACCTTCCCTATCCTATCATTGTAAAATCAACAGAAATAGTGTTGTTCTAAACGAATAAATTATTGGTTTAGACTGATATAATATGCTACTTTAGTGTCCCCATAATATTTGCACAGATCCCTTCTCAGAAGCATCTTTGCAGATTGACTGTACATTTTATTGAACAAGGCTAAAGTAAGCCATCCTGTTAATAAGTGTTTAATTAATTCGTTAGGCATGGGGAGGCCTCTTTTTAAAAGGTTCAGTGTTGAAAAATGTGGAACGTCTTTTGCTGAAGAACCTAGTGGTTGGAAAACACAGTAGCAACAGCTTGTACAACAGTCTAGGTACACCTCCTGCTAATCTTTCACAAAACACTATGCAGCTGTGTGGAAAGTTCATAAGGGGCTTGCCAATGGTTCCTACATTTTTTAATTTCGTGCCTTCCTCTGTCAGGTATGCACTAATGAAGAAAAGGAGCTCCTGTCTCGTGATTCGAAGAAGAGCCTTGAGCTTCGGAACAAGCTGATGAACCATACCGTCGATGAGGGTCTTGCCAAGGCTATTGAGCAGAAGAATCGGCTTCTGGAATATGATCGTACCTCGTGAGTCATTGCGCTTCTCATGGAATTGGTGTGAACTGTTTGTCGTGTGCGCATATGTCGCCAAAGTGTTGCCTGTTTCATGCCCACAATTTTTCTGGTTCCAAATGCAGCCCCTGGAGTGTTTCGTGCTTGAGATTGGCATTGAATTTCTTGGAATTGTGGGTAGGCACAAGTACGAAATGTGGTCCTTCCACATAATGTGCTTGTCTACAAAACACAACATAACGTGTGTGCTTACAGTTGATAATGCACAGGAGACATGACATGAAACAGAAATTAAGAGGGAAACTTTGTGCGAATGCACAGTCTCCATGCGAAAGTTTCTTTGAGGGAAGCGTTCAATAGTTTGACGTGAGTGTAGTGCTAGTTCTGTAATTTTGAATATTTGCACCAAGATACAGCGGCTCTTTAGGAAAGGTTACATTTTCATGCTCTGTATTTTATTGACAGTTGAGAAGATAAGAGCGAGATGCAGATCAGCAAAAACGTTCGAACCTTACGGTGCATGAGTATCAGTCTGTTGAAGGCTCTTCATATAGCGCATATGAAAGCTGTGTACTCTGGTGCTCACATTGAATTTCTGAATTCTCATCGACACAACACATGTCCCAGTGTCAGTCAGTTGAAACTTATTTTCAGGCATTTGTTGTTTATTTGTTCAAAAATGACTTTTTTGGTGCATTTGCTTATTCCCAGCTACATGGTGGCTGTCGTTGCAGGAAGCGTCGTACCAAGGTCATAGATGACAATTCCGACTATTACTCCTCAGACAACAAGTGGCTGACGCTTGAGCAACGAGAAATGATTCGTAAAAAGGAAGAAGAGTTGTACGCAGAGCAACATGCTTCACGACGACAACAGAAGGTTTGTGACGAAAATAATGACTATACAACTCAAGCTGGCCTCCTCTTGTATTTGTGTTATCTTGCATTGTTTAAGATGTTATGATGTCACTAAATTTTCCCTCCTTTGTCACACTGCATTACCGCAGGGGTCTAGTGGCTACGAAGTCCTGCTTATTAGGCCGTAAGTTCGATTTCCAGCTATATCATCAGTGATCCCACTCCTACGCCAAAGTGCGCCAAATCAGATTTACTGCACCATTCTGATAATATCAACGAAAATTGCACCGAACTGCACCAAAGTCCGATTTGGGAGCGTCTATCATCGGCAATAGCCACGCTGGTGTGTCAATAACATGTGCACCTTGTATCTCGGGGCCACCAAAGTCGCAATTACTTACCTATTTTATCATGCTGAATAAACAGTGGTCGGGTGTGTGTCTAAAATCCAGGATGCCATGTTTGGTGCCGACGCAAATTTGTTGTGCAAGTCCGCTTAACGGCGAAATGCGCTCTCCGCAAGGGCTCGTGACGTCTGGTCCAATCGGTAGTGTGAAACTGTGGCGGCCTTTCATCGGCGGATGTCGTTCTTTCAGGAACGCTGCTGATAGTTTGTTTGAAGAGATGCGCGGCTTGTAATCCAACAATTTGAACTAATAACTACACGCGTGCTGCCGCAATGTCTGTCAAGTCATGTCTGTACATCGCGATTTAATTTTCCATGCTTCGCGTCTGCAGAACACATATATGGTGGGAACGCGTTGATAAGTTTCCTCTAATATACTTTATCTATGGTTCATCATACAGAAAAACTGTTTTGTAATTATTTGCACCAGCACATCTGCATTTGTAATTGCTATGGTGGTAAAAGCCCCTACAAGACTGTGCCCTTTCCACTCGAAGTTGCTAGGCTCCGAATTGAAAATTCTCGTGTGCTCATCGGCCATACCATGCTGAATGCGTTGGTTCTGAAAATTTTCGCAAGTTTAATTCTTAGGTATCATCTCATTTATAAAAGCTTGTCTCCTGGTCGGAGCAGCCACAATTTAGTTTTAATACGCGCAGCCTTGAGGCCATCGCTGGCCGTTTTGGTGTTGGAATGCCTGTGAAGCGGCTACGCCTTAATACATTTCCACCTCTCGCTTTCAAAGGTTAATAGCTGATGGTTAAAAAAAAAAATGAACACAGCTTTATATTTATTGCTTCGTTTTGAAGGGAGGGGTGAAGGGGAGGCTGCTGTGTCGCTTGAAGTAGCTGGAGCACGCTATCTCGAGGCATAATGAGGCTGCTCGTGAACTTTCTGCGCTACAAAGATCTGCTTCGCATTTAGATACCTGACAGCACGAAAGCTTTAAAAAACTAGAGTGATGATTATCCCGTTAGCCAGCGTTCTTTTTAGTTACGCGATATCAGATCTAAAAAATACAATTTGTTAGTTTCATTTTTGTTAGTTTCGCTCTTAGCAATGAATGCGATATCAACAAATTGTATTTTTACACCAAATAATAAGGCTTGACGTCATCTGTGAGAAGTGCTAGGGACGGGGTTGTTATTTCCAAGGTCCGCGCACTCACAACAACTTGCTGCGCGCGCCGTGTTCGATATCCGCGACTTGGGTGACTAGAAACCCCCGAAATATCTCTTGCACGCCAATGTATATACATATGGAACGAGACTTGTCTGGAGCACCCAGCCGGCCACTCTAGCTGGAATTTTCTTCAGAAATGTCTAACAAGAGACGCGGTAATGTTACTAAACATAGCTCTTGCACGCCAATGTATATACATATGGAACGAGACTTGTCTGGAGCACCCAGCCGGCCACTCTAGCTGGAATTTTCTTCAGAAATGTCTAACAAGAGACGCGGGAATGTTACTAAACATAGTTGCGTGTTAGGCCTTTGTGTTGTAATGCTTACATTACAGCACAAGGTCCATTTTCAAGGTTCTTGCACTCGCAAAAGTAGCTGCACGCGCAGTGTTTGACACCATTATGCTGAAATGTAAGCATCAACGAAAGCTTGTAGTTAACGTGAAATAGAAGTCGCTTCCAACAACAGTGTCGACAGGCACGCCCTCCGTTGCTGTGTGCCAGTCCGATTCTATCTGTACAGCATGACCGGCTCTACAATGGCACGGCGATAATGTGGCTGCCTTGCGATCAAGGCTCAGTGCATGCCCTTATATGGCCGCTCTGGAAAGTGAAGCGCTTTACGCACAGTCTTTTTACGTTGAGAGTACCAGGTAGAAGGGTACACCAGCCGTAAATAGCCCGTGCCCCAGCGATCACACCCTTAAAGTCAAAGTTCATAACAATGCCCACCCCCCCCTCGCGTTGCTAGCTCGATATTGCCTGCCTCTTTGACACGGGCAGTGCGTTCCCCTCTGCTTGAATACCAATCGATGGGAGGCCTGGAATGCGAGGTGATGTTATCGCATCCACCATCAGTGCCAAGGGGATAGGTCGGCTCTGCTAATCTCTGCTTTAGCTGCGTTCGCCGCCCCCGCTGGCGCGTTTTTACCCACGTGTAAATCGCGATGCGCAGGGGAATGTTATCGATTAGGACATTACACAAAACATGACGGCTGGTGGCGTAGCCGGGGGAAGGCGCACATATAGAACGTGCTCCCCCTCCCCACTTCCTAAATGTTTTTTGCCATGGCATATATAGGGCAAAATGATCTTTTGCCTGCGCACCCCCCCCCCCCCCTTCAGATCAAGGTGCAACTCCACCCCAATTTAAAAAAAAAATTGCTGACTGCACCCCTGGAAATGGCAAAAACCAAATGAAAAATGTCCAAATAATTGCTATCCCATTAAAAAAAATAGATCTTGCCTTGGCGTGGTATGGATGAGGTACCCTGTGAGATTTTTTTTTTGTGCACTGCTTTCTGGAGGACATAGTAGGGAGTTTTTGGAGTATAGATACAACACCCTAGCCACATAAAATATTGCTGCAAAAAGAAAATGAAGTTTGTTACATTGTGTAGTTTCAGTACAGAGATGAGTGCCAAAAGAGGTTGGCTTTCTGAGACTAGCTGAATGACGTAATGTTACGTCCTGCAGTTTGATCAGTCAAGAAGAAAAAGAACCTTTTTTATTCTTGAAGTCATCTTAGTGGAATGCACTTGGGACTGTTTGAGTCTCTAGCGTTGTACGTCAGAGCGTTTGTCTACCTTATCTGCTTATAACCAGTTGGGTGTATTTTGATGTTATTTCAGATATACCTACAATTTTATTGAACCAGTATTCTGTTTATTTGCTGCGGAAAATAATCTCTGGACAAGTTTTTTCAGAATGCTCAACAGCATGACATCGTTATTCGTACATCAACTGAAATAGAGAGTGCTTTTTAGATGGTTGGCTCTGTGAAGTTTGCAATGAATATAAATATTTCTAGCTCTTTAAAGAGCCTCAGAATAATTATTCATGTCCTTGATTGTAAATGCAACTTGCTTCTCCAGAATTTGAAGTTAGCGGCTCCAGATTGCTCCAAAATGAAAAATTCTGCGGCTCTAAAGTGCTCCAAATCGGAAGACCTCGGTGGCACCACTGTATCAGGCATTTTTAAAGATGGGAAAGAAGCAGAAACACTGCTGTACTTATTCTTAGGTACATATCTAGGAGCTCTGGGTGGTTGAAATTCATCGTGGGCCCTTCAATATATAGCACCCCTTGTTCCTCAGGTTTGAAGTATGGAATGGAGTGAAAAAACTTTATTTAATGAAAAAACTTTATTTGTTTGAAGTATCATTTATTTCTTTAGAATGCCACACTGAGAACACGGATTGATGATATTATATTGCTACTTTAGGGGTTAATTTCGCCCAGAAAGTTTATTGAGGAAGGAGTGTGTGTATCATAGTCCATTGTGAAGCTTGAAGACACCAGTCATCCTCCGTGTTTGCCTTGTTAACAGCCGCGTAATTTGCACAGGTGACGCTAGATTTTGCTGGGCGCCAAGTGGTGAAGGAAGACCCACGGCATGCCAGCATGCAAAGCTTGTTTCAATCACTTGTAGAACCTATGGCTGAAATAAATATCAATGACCAATTGTGTAGAGAAGTGGAGTCCATACACTTTGTTGATCCAGCCTTGGATATGCCACCATTCGAGGTGAGTGCACTTGTCTCATTGCACCAGAGTCGCATTGTGTAGTGGTTATTGTGCATGGCGGCTCACCTGAAGGCTGCAGGTTCGATTTTTGTCATGGCAGTCACATTTTGATGGAGACAACATGCTAGAGGCCCGCGTAATGTTGCAATGTCAGTGCACGTTGGAAAATACCAGATGGTCAAAATTTCTAGAGCCTATCGCTATGGCACACCTTGTGATCATAAGGTAATTCTGGCATATAAAACCCAAGTAATAATATTCTTATTAGAGTCTCATCTGGCTCTTGTCAAACCCATTGCATGATCTTAAGCAGTGGTTTTTTGTTTTTGTCCCTATTTTCATCATGTATGTTAGCGTTGCGCTAGTAAACTAGTGTTCTGAAGTAGTGAAAAAGCTGAATGCTATTGTACAGTTCTGAACGAACAAAAGAGAGTGACATGAATGTCTCAGTTTTTTGTCAGACACTGTCTAATGAAGCCAAGGAAAGCATAAGCTTGATCCCTAGCCCTGATAAGTTTTTTTTTTCATTTGTATTTATTTTGTTTTTTTTTTGTTACACTTCAGCTGAAAACTACAGTTACGACCCACCCCCCCGTGCCTCCTGGGCTTCATAACGTTGTCTAGCAGAGTTTGCCGATTCTAAACTAATGATGACTTGCTCTGTCACGCAGTATGTACCAACCGAGGTCCTCCGTGCACCGACCTGTCCAATGGGGGACAACAGCCTGGTGTGCACCTCAAGCAATGGACTAGTCATCAGCTCCCGCATTCAGGATCGAGCTCTCATGGAAATGTCTGATGATGGCTTTGCACTTTCCGTGCAACAACCATTTGCCGGTCTGCTAGTGGCCGGAATCAAAAAGTATGATGTCATTCATGACTGGTTTTCTATGTGTGTAGATATATAGTGAAATTATTGTTTGTATTATATCTCTTTGCGTATGAGCCAGGATTGGTCTTTTCACTGCAAGAGCCGAGTCATCTTCTACATTTCACCAATGGCACACTCAAGCCGAGCTTGAGGTTTGGGTTCAATGTTAGTCGCAGCGGTCGAATTTCGATGCAGGTGAAATGCAGAATTGAAGTGCCCACAACTTTAGTTTTACATGCACATGAACTTATGAAGTTGGTCAGCGAAATGAGTTCGGGGAGTTGGCTGAATAATGAGAAATATTGAAGCCGAGAATTCGTGGCTGCGGCTGCCAGTGACAAAATGTTAATGGTGCCATGGTTTCACTAAGCGTTACCAGTCCTGCCTCCCTGGGGTTGATACGAAATGGCAGCTGAATGTACAGTGAAATCTCGTTGATTTGTAATTCTGGTTAATTAGGCCACAGAATCTGGTCCCGTCCAAAATGTACATTGTTCTATGACTGAAAACTGTCAATAATTCGGGCAAATTCGGCGCGCTTCGTTCAATTCCAACGCCCAACCACGGTCGAGTCACGACGGGAAGCAGCCGCGGATTCTGCCAGCCAAATCGACGGTGCAGGTAACAACTTTAGAATCGTATTGTGTCCTCTGAGATTCAAAACTTTGTCCATAGGTAGTACATCTCGGAGGCACCTCCCCCCCTCAAAAAAAAAAAAAAAAAGAAAGAAAAACACATGGTGGTTTAAACAACAGAAATGGAAGGCAGTGCATAGCTACTGTCATCCGCAATGGGCTACCTACTAATTTGCCTTTCCTTTTTTCTTGCGCGTCGAACACGTTTGCGGGACGGTTGAATTGGATTAGTCACTTTTAGTGTGCTTTAAATTATTTATCTGTACCTGATTAGGGCCACCTGCAGTTTTACCGTCTGTGGTTTTTTTAAAAGTTTGTCGGTTTTTATTTTGTTTTTATCACCGTGTGTTGTTTTTTGTGTGTGTGGGTTTGTGTTGTCTACTTCGTGCGCGCACGTGACCACCGTGCGAGCTACGCCAAGTTAGCTTTCCTTCTGTCTCCTGCTGCCCCAATTACCCCATCTCTCGCAGCGAAGAGGGCGAAGTACGAAGCAAAGGATTTGGATGTGAAGGTGAAAATATTGAAGGCGTTTCGAGCGGGAGCATCTCGAAAAGAAGGTGTGGAAAAGTTCAATGTGAAGAAAAGCACGCTGAGCACTTGCGTGAAGAACGAAAAGCAGATTATGCAAGCGTACGACGGGGACATGTTCGGTGACCAAAGGAAGTGGCTTTGATCGGCAGCGCTGTTGTGCTGGATAGCCGTTTCGCGCGATTTGCATTCGCCCTTGAACGGTCCCCTTATCTGCGCACAAGGAGAAATGTTCGCAGTGACCATGAACATTGACCCCTTCAATGCGTTGGAAGGCTGGTTTCGACCGCTTCAAGAAGCGACACGGCTGGTGGTCCCCAATGTGTGTGATGAAAGTGTTGCGGTTGACGAAAGTGTTGTGCAGGGCTGGCGGTCTGGACTATTGGCGCCTTTCTACGTACGAGCCGTGCAACATTTTCAACGCTGATGAGACAGTGCTGTTCTATAAGGCCCTGCCTGACAAAACAATCGCGTTTAAGGGAGACCTGTGCGTCGGTGGAAAACGAAGTAAAGAGCGCGTGACAGTTCTTCTGGCTGCTAACATGACCGGCACAAAGCGGCTGCTGGTGATCGGGAAGGCGGTGAAGCAAAGATGTTTTAAGAATATCAAGCAGCTGCCTTTCGACTACCGTTTCAACAGAAAGGCTTGGATGACTGCCGAACTCTTTGAAGCCCGGCTTTGTCAGCTTGACCGCCGCTTTGCGGCCAAGGTTCAGAAGGTGTTGTTCGTGCTAGACAACTGTAGTGCACACAAGAAGGTGTCCGGGCTCAAGAACATTGAACAGCTATTCCTGCCTCTGAACACAACAGGTTCTCTGCAGCTGATGAACCAGAAAATCATACAGTTCGTGAAAAGAGGCTGTTTATGGCAGGTACTCGAGCGGATGTGGCTCTGCATGGAGTTAGGCAAGCAGTACGAAGTAAGCCTGTTAAGCGCAATCCACATCATGACATACTTGTGGAAAAACACACCGCCTGCAGTAGTCGTAAACTGCTTCAGGCATAGCGGCTTCGTGCACGACACCACTGATCCGGGGGTGGTGGCTGATGAGGAAACCGGCGAAGAGCAAGACGGCCGCTATGTGAGCATCATGCCAGCTGATGTGCCCCTAGGTGATTACTTCGCAATTAACAGCTATGTTGCCGTGGCCAGCACAGTGGCCCACAGCGATATCGTCGCCGAAGTCTTGGACGGCGTAGGGGAATCTGCTGACAAGGACGTGATGCTGACGAGCGTCCACGCCACACTGTGACGGAGGCTGCGCATGCGTTGGCCGTTTTGGAGGACATGTGGATGCTTTCTTCAGACAGTGTGCGCGGACTAAGCCACCTGGAGGAACTTTGCGAAATTTTGACTTCGTCGCACATTGCGTCCGTGAAGCAAACAGCGATTACAGACTTTTTTTGAGAAATAAAAGTGTGTGATCACCATCGAACTAAGTCGAGCCCGCGTATAGCGCACCATCCACTAAGTCGAGCACCATCCAACTAAGTCAAGCCCGCTTATAACGAACCTGAGCCTGACGCGGAATCCGTTCGCTGTATCCCGAATTTCGTAGTGAATGAAACACAGCTTGTAAAAAAGTTGCAAGTGAAAACACAAAATTTTTTGCCCAAAAAAGTCAGTGATGCACGTGTATCGAAGAACAGAAGTGATAAGGGCGGTCCCGAGTTTATTTCGAACGGCAGCGTGCTGAGGCATAAGCTGCGTGAGGCACTGGCTCCAAAGTTTCGGCGTTCTCGCAATCCGATTCCACCAAATCGCTCTTGCCACGTACTTAATTCACGATGCCCTAATTTGTGCACGGTTCCGTGGTGCATGCATCATCATCGACCGTAATTAAACAATCGCAACTTATGTCCCACCCGCGCTACCAGGTCGTAGTCGACGACGCGCTGCCACAAATCGCCGCAGGAGTGGTCCTGTTCGGAAGCTTCAGGCTCGGCATCGGGCCGGACGTCGACAAAGTCTGGCTCGTGAAAACAGTTTCGCGCGCATGTAGCCGTCACCGCCGCCCACGAAATATTCACTATCCCCACAACTGAATACCGGGACGCCCATAGCGTCAAGTTGACTGCCAGGTGGTCAACAGCTATGAGCAAGCGCTCCGCAACACGGCACCTAATGTGCGGATTACGCTCAAGCCAAGTGGTCACACTTTCGACGTTTTGTTGAGCGACAGGAAAAAGTGTGCAGGCCTGGAAAAAGTGTGCAAGGCCTGCCAACCATCATCCTGACCACACCTGCACACTGAGAGTGAGTAAGACGCGCACACTCAACACGCATGCCAGAACGCATGGTACAGCTCTGGGCCCGTTTACAGTGAGAAAACAAAACTTGTGAATTCGAGTCAGCATGACGCTGGCATCTCAGAGCGGTGGAGACGGGCGAAGGAGTTGTGTCAAGAGAGGAGAGCCGATTTGTGAGAGAAGGGCAAGGAGTAGCGATAGAGTGAAGAGGAGGGAGGATGTGGTGAGAAGGTGATCTTGAAAACCAAATCAAGCGAGGAGGAGGCAGGTCGGGCAGCTTGCATGAAAGTTTCGTGAAATGCGCAACCCGCGCATAGAATGCATGCGCAGAGGTCTAAGCAATGCTGCCTTGATCGGCGTGTGTGGCGGTGTTCAAAGAATCGGCGGCCGTGGTCAAAGAATCGTTTTGTTGCGCCACGGGTTTGCGTGGCCTCACCGACTTCGATATTTTGCAATTCGTATTGCACAAATAATTTTCGTTTTTACGCTTCTGCACGCGTGCGGAGGGCATGCTGAGCTGAGTGCAAAGTAAGTGAGAACAGGTCCTAAACACAAAGAATTGCGAATGGTGGGTGGGGTAGAGTACGTGCGTGCACTAGAACGATGCGATAAGACAAGACGCAGACGATGAGATGCAGACGATGTTGGCAAATGGGGCAAATGGTCTGGTCATTCAGGCCGAAGACGCCGACGACAGTACCAGCGATCCCAAACGGGAAATGGCCGACCTGTGTTTGAAAGAGGAGTTGCAGTGTGAAAACACGGGCCGCGTCTGGCGGGGTGGGGGGGGGGGCGCAAAAGACGGAAGGGTGCGTAAAAAGAGCGGTCGGGGAGAGCAGGAACTGGAGGGGCGCGGATGCAGGGTCGGCGTTTAACAATAAGGATCTATCGGCACCTCGCCGATGCCTCATCCGTGGTCAAAAGTGGTTTCCCGGGAAGGCGGCAGAGTGCCGACTCTGTTCGCTGTAACCGATCGGCGGCGCTCGGAGACCTTGTTGTAAGTGCGATTTTGTGTCATTGAAACAACGTATATTTTCACAGCCACGCGAATATTGTTTGTTTTAAGCGACAGTTTTTTTTAAGTGGGGCCGGTATATGTGGGCTCGACTGTATTTATCAAATATGAGTATGAGGCAGTTTGCCATGTGCTTTGTCCCAGCTCATATTGCTGACTGTAGTACCTTGGTGTGTTTACCATGGTTTTATAATGTGGGCAATGTTTACCTTCAGATAATTCTAACATAAATCTTGATAACACAGATGCTTGGGCTGGTTAGTGATTTGGAATCAATATATTTGCACAGTACAAGACTACGAATAGTTACGACGTAGCAGAAGAAGAGACAAGGACAGATAAAGCGCTGACTTAAGGGTTCTTTCTGTCAGCGCTCTTTCTATCCATGTCTCTTCTTGTGTAGTTTCGTCGTAACTACTCGCAGTCTTGCGCTGTGCAAATATGTTGAACATAAATATGTTGTCATCGTTAATTTGAATGAATGCTCAAGTCTGCTGTATCTTTTTATGGAGCAAATAATCGAAATTTCCAATACTTTTGAAATAGTGTTGGCTATTCGATTTGATTCACATTGGAATATTTGCTATTCGAACTTCTCTTAGGTAAATGCAGGCAACGTCCAAATAAAAGTGAACCCTTTAGTTTTAATATGCTCACCTCATTACACTTCCATATTGCGGTAAAGCTGCCTTTGAAACTCTGCTGTGGTTGCAAATGTATATTTACTCAAGAAACACTGGTTCCAACATGGAGGTATAGATGTGGTAGAAGCACGGGCTCACCTAATGCTCTTTTAGACCTGAGATTCCGGCAACAAATTCGAAAAATCGGGTGCCAAAGATTTTTGGCAACCAAATTTTTAAAATGTTCTTGTGTGTATGTTCACGTTTATTTAGAACTCCTAACTCAAAAGGAGTGCGACCTTCTCAGCCACATCACTTGTGCATGTCAGAAGGTGAAAGAGGAGGAAAGGCTGAGAAAACAATAGCATCTTTGCCTTTCACATGTAATGTTCTCGGCAACACTTTGGTTGCACCAAATCGTCATATCATGCAATTCAGCCTCTCCATTGCCTCATTCTTGATAAGACAACCATGAAATACCACCTCGCTTGTGCTTCATCAATCGAGGGAAAAAAGAAACACTTTCGTGTTATATTTCATAAAGATATGATTAGGAATCCTCTCCAGCATTTTAGACCCACAATTGCGCTTTGAGCTATAAAAAAATATTCTAGAAATATTTTAGAAATAATTATTCGATTCGATTCACACTCACACTTCAATATTCAAATTAGTTTCTCACCCAAACTTTCGCTGTTCGCAGAACCTAAATTTTCCACCTTACTTTTTGCAGGCATGAAGGGCGTGCTTGGTTCACAACATACAGGGGTCGTCTCTGGATTCATGCAGCCTGCAAACAGCCCTCACAGGAAGACATCACTGAAGTGACTGGCATTTATCGCCAGATTGTCAAAGGTAGGGTCCTTGTATTTCACTGTTTTATGTGTAAATTAAAATGCGCTGTTGTCATGAGGGCTTGAATGAGAGTTATTCAATCAGACCAGTTGCACAACTGCGTTCCAAAATCTGGACACGCAGTTGGCCCAATTTGTCAGAAATTAGCTGACTGTCGTGCCACCTGAGAGAGGCAGTGCAAATGCGTTTAATAGTGGGTGTCATGAACAACAGGTGGCGTGACAATCTGCTCACTCCCAAAAGGGGTTGGGGGGGGGCAATGAGGTGTTCCAATTTCTATAAGCGGAGCCTAGGGGGAGTTTCGCAACTGATATGATTTAAAAACCCTGGGCTTTAACTGCTTAACAGCAGGATTGCCAGGTTTCACTATTTTGGGCCAATTCAGCTACTTTTTAGGCCAGTAGCGACAGATACAATGTTTTTGAGCACTTGTATACCTTTTGGTTACTTTGTTGTTGTGCTGATTTGAACCAGGTTATCAATATTAGGTGACTCTCCAGCCATTGGCATACAACTATGCGTTGTAAAAACATGGTTGTTAAGGTGTGTCTCCGGCCTCCAAAATTGAGTTAGGTACTTGCATTACGTAAAACAAAAGGCGTTTAATATGTGTGGCTCAGCCTCAGAGAATGCTTTTACGTGGGGCCCCATTTTTCAAACCACCTATTGCTGAATGAGACTTGAAATCGTAATTGGAAGTGACGAGTGCAATCGAAAACACTTCACATTCTGAGCGCTCTGTACTCGCAGGCATTAGAAATCGAATATCCGAGGAACTTCTTGTGTCATTTCTCAGGATTTGGGTAAGAATTGCGACTTGGGAGTATTGTCTGCTCAGGGTTCGTCATCATGCAAGAGGTTATTACGAAAATGACTGCAATATGTGCTTTAATATCATTATCTATTGTTCTGCGAATAGTACAATTTACATTCAAAAAGAACATTTATTTGGCTGGAATTACTTCTAATGGAATTTGAACAGTCAATCCCCTTTATAAAAGGAATGCTCTAGGCAGCAGTTCTTGTTTTTTATATGAGATCTCTCCTATAAGCAGGGTACCTTGTATGCATTTTCTTATCAACCCATACTTTTCTGTAGGCACGCTGCTGTATCTTATGTCCATTTGTTTCTTATATCAGTGTCTCTTATAAAAGGGTTCGACTCCTATAAGAGATACTGAAATAGGAGACATGTATGTATAAGAGACAGCAGTGTGCCAACAGTAAAATATGGGTTGATAAGAAAATGCATATGAGTTTCCTTGCTTACAGGAGAGGTCTCATATAAAAGACAAGAATTCTTCCCGGAACTCTCCTCTTACAAAGGGGTTTAGCTGTATATATTAAATTGCATGTAACCCCTCCTCCTTGTAAAGGTGGCTTCACTGCAGTGATGTGCTCTACCCTATCGTATTTACTCGCGTAATCTTCGCACTCGCATAATTCTCGCACCCCCCACATCGCACAACAAAAATACGATTTCTTTTTTTTCTCGAATAATTATCGCACCTCCCAAAACTGCCGCAATAATGTGGTATGCTCGTTCCAGCCACTGATGATGATAGAGGGTGCCATCTGGCGCCATCTCTTATGGATCAAGCGCACTATTATTGCACAGAGATTCAATTCAATCCAAGCCAAAGTGGCAAGTGTGCGTTGCGGCGAGTTTAGTATGTTGTGTCGGTAATCTTTTCACGTTATGGGGTGATGCTAAAGCTACAACGCTGCTTTCAAGTTTAAAGTGAAAGATCACGCACTAAACAACGGCAACAAGGCCGCCGATCGGCCCTTCGGTGTCTACGAGTTTTGTGTTCGCTACTGGTGACGGCGGCTGAAAGCCACCAAGACACGTTGGGCCTGCCGTGTGCCTAAAACTGGGATTGATAGTAAAATTTATTTCTTCAGAAGGAAGCTGAGAACGATTCTGTTAAATAGTCATCAGCCCAATACTGACGTCCTATGGTTACCTTTTGAGGGCTCCTGTTGAGCGACAAACGCTACCGCTACGCCCACATGCTTTGTGTATGGTATTCTGATTCTCCACTATTTGCTTGCACTTTTTGTATCTCAAATAAATCTCACCTTGTGTTGAACCTGTACTTCTATTGTTGAGGTAAGTTTTAATTAGTACTTATCAAAGCTAGCTGTTAGTTGCTGGTGGGAGAATCCCAATTTGCGGCAACTTCGTTTTCTTTTTCGCTCTGTACGTTTCCGTGGAAAGTTTTCCCCGCGTAATTCTCGCACCCCCCAACTTTGCATCGGTTTTCCGCCTAAAGAAGTGCGAGAATTTTCGCGAGTAAATACGGTATTACATCTTTTCAGCAAAATCCACACTGCTGTGTAGCACCACTTCAAGGTTAAATCAGAATATTGTTCTCACATCTATTCTTTGTTTATTAAGTTTTTAAAAGCTTGTTATGCTAGTTAATATGGCCCCAAGTATAGTAAATTTAAAATGATATATTTCATACAGGTTATCAATTGGATTCTACTGAAAGTCAAATCCTATTTATATTCAAGGTTGCTTTCACTTAATTTGAACCAAAAAGAATGGCATTTCCACATGCCTTGTATCAATGAAAAAAAAATATTTATGTAATGTGCAGGTTGTGGGGTCTGGAAATAGCAAGCGCCACGCTCTTGTATGAACGAACATAGTTGACACTGTCGCACCAAACCAAGCAACACACATTTACTTAAGTGCATTTTGATCGACGATATCATCAGCCGAATTATTATACATCAATTTTGATGCACACGCTAAACAACCTTACACAATAGTATACCTCTCTCACACGTGGCAACTTGAGTGCACTTTGAGTGAGTGTACTTATGCTCACAAAGTGTCGTTTTGGCGGTTCGCTGCTACATGAGTAAGCGAAGTGTACTATGGAAATGATGACAGTTGCAATTGTTGCGTTTGTAGCGCTATATATATTTGTTACTTTTGCGCCCGTGTCTTATCGTCGGACCACATTGTCTTTCTGGAAGTAGCACCTGTGGTACATGCCAACTTAAATTACTAGAGAACAACTCGCCTACACATGTGCAAGTGTGCCTGGAAGTAAACAATGCGACGGATGCAGCCATTGCACACCATGTGCTGCCGCATCCCCCTAGCAGACGTGGCCCCAAACTGGCTGAGGTTGAGAGTAGCGAGAATTTTCAATGATTTCTGACTTGTTTTCATGCATACGTGAATTTTATATAATGAAAATAATAGTTTAAAATGAGTATACGTACCGCTTTAGGTAACAGTAACAGCGAAGTGAGTTTGGGGAACGCACTTGCTGGCAAGTGTACTTTGCAGCGAGTGACACTAAACTTGCTCGTATAACAGCGTGCAAATGGCACTCGCGGCTAAGTGTACTCGCTCGAAGAGCACTTAAGTTGCCACGTGTGACAGGGGTATTACACAGCATTCAACAATGTAACAAACCTAAGAAGACACTCAAGGCGGCTTCGCCAAAGTTTGACTTACTGTAATTACTCGAAACTAACGCACACCTTTTTTCCGGTTAAGGGAGTTCATAAATCAGATGCGCGTTAGAATCGAGTACGAAAAAAAAAAAAAGAAATGAATACGGTCATTCTATTACCATCGGCATTCCAAAATGGCCGCCCCCTATGTGCGTCGGCATGGCGCGTCGGCCATTTCTGCCTATGGGTTTCGCATGTGCAGCACTTCGTACGTGTGCTGAGGAGTTCGTCATCTTGGTGTGCATTAGCATCGACGGCATGGAAGGGCTGACTCTAAAAACTCGACGAGTGCACCACGATGCCGCTTTTAAAAGAAAAGTCATCGCGTGTGCCCGAAACGGACGTAAATCGGGCTGCATCGCGGTCGTTCGGTGTTCCCGAAACGTGCGTGCGGGACTGGCGGAAACAAAAGCAGAATATTGTCGACAGAAAAGATTCATGCAAAGGCTTCAGTGGACCACAGCAGGGTCGGTTTCCGCAAATTGAAGAGCTGCTCGGTGAGTATGTGATTGAGCAGTGAGCGGCACAGCGGCCCGTGATTGACAGAACTGCTCCAAGTGCTGGCTATGCAGTTAGCCTTAGAAAAAGGTCTAATGCGGAGTCAGTTTAATGCGAGCAGGTGCTGGCCAACTAACTTTATGAAGAGGAAAGGCTTTTCCCTCTGAAGGCGTACGGGCATACGCCGAAAGTTGCCGGAGGAGTACGAAGAAAAGCTTCAGTTTTCAGAGGTTCGTCCTAAACTTGCGGCACAACAACGGCTCCCGGCTTGGGCAAATCGGGAATGCCGATTAGACGCCTCTTTACTTCGACATGCCTGGCATCACAACCGTCGAGAAGAAGGGGGCGAAGCAAGTTCGCGTGCTGACATCGGGCCACAGTAAAACTAGAGTGACGGCAATGCTCCGTTGCACGTCAGATAGGCACAAGCTTCCTCGTACCTCATATTTAAAAGGAAAACGCTCCCAAAAGGAGTCTTTTTCCCAAGTGGTGTGATCGTGTGGGCCAACGAGAAAAATGGATGCGCGTTGCAATCGATGTCTTACTTTTTTTTTTTCCGACGTAGAAACCCGGTGCGCGTTACAATCGAGGGCGCGGTAGAGTCAAGTAAATGCGGTACCACAAGGGCCCCTGGTGCGCAACCGGCGGTGCCGTGCACCAGGTACCCACTGCTAGAAACAACTGTTCGCGCCAACTGCCACCCACCAAAGAGGCCCGCTCATCTCTTTGGTGCCGCCACGAAGGCTTGCCGCCAGGCGGCACTGCCGGCGCCACTCTTCTAGCAGTGATGATGATGGTGGGGATAACGCTCGCGAGCATAATGCCACCTACCGCTCGATAACTGCGACTGCTGACTGCAGCTTCTGCGGGAGACATGTGTGCCACGAAGGGACTACAATACAGGGGGTAACAGCACCCTTAAATTTCCCAACCTTAATTCAAACCATCTCTCCCCCAAAAAAGACATCAAAGAAATCAGCTACGCAAGCTCTAACAAAAGATGACAATACATGTCCCTAAGG